AAATTATCAAGGGCTCATGAGGGAGGGGGGAGCGGGGAGGGAGGGGAAAAATGAGGACCTAATGCCGGGGGCTTAAGTGGAGAGGAAATGTTTCGAGAATGATGAGGGCAATTAATGTACAAATGCGCTTTACACAATTGATGTATGTATGGATTGTGATAAGTTGTATGAGCCCCTAATAAAATGATTTTTAAAAAAAAGAATAAACAAATAGGTCTTGGAAGAAACACAGCTGGTATGCTCCCTCGAAGTGAGGATGGTGCGAGGTTTCACTTACTTTGGGTGTGTTATCAGAAAAAACCAATCCCTGGAAAAAGCCATCATGCTAGGTCAAGTGGAAGGGCAGTGAAAAGGAGGAAGACCTTTGATGAGATGGTTTGACACAATGCCTGCCACAATCGGGTCATAACAACATATCATCATAACGACTGGGAGGAGGGTGCAGGACCTGTCAATGTTTCATTTGGCTGTACGTAAGATTGCTATGAGTTGGACCTGACTTGGCAGCAGCTAACAACACCAACAACATATCAGGCAAGGGGCGAATCTTAAAATCTATCGAAAACTGCAACTCTTCAACAAGAAAAGACCAATGATCCAATTGAAGAAAAGCTCGGGATCACTAACCCTTCAAGAGATTCAAGTCAAAACAACGATGAGATATCACCTCACGCCAAAGTTCAGAGAAATGGAAAATAACAAATGCCGGAGAGGATGTGCAGAGACTGTAACTATCATACCCTGCAGATGGGATGGTAAAGCTGTACAACCACTATGGAAAACCATATGACGCTTTCTCAAACAACTGGGAATAGAAATACTCTATGACCCAGGAATCCCTTGACTCGGCATATACCCTAAGGAAATAAGAGCTGTACGATGAACAGACATGTGTACTCCCGTGTTCATGGCAGCGCTATGCACAATAGCAAGAAGATGGACACAATCCAAATGCCCATCAGTGGAAGAAGGAAGTCAATAAACGTTATTACATACACAGAGTGGAATACTACGAATCGCTAAACGATAATGATGAAACTGATACACCTCATGATGTGGGTGGATTTGGAGTACATTAAGCTGAGTGAAGTTAGTCAATCACAAAGGGACAAATATTGTATGAGACCATTGTTAGGTAAGAAACTATCAAGATAAAGTTTTTCATACCAAAAGAAACAGACTTTGATAGTTACCAGAGGTGAGAGGGGATGAGAGGGAAGAGGAAGCTTTAGACTCGAGCAGCAGTTCCCAACCTGTGGGTCGAATGACTCTTTCACAGGAGTCACCTAAGAAAACACATATTTCCAATGGTCTTAGGAACTGAGACACCGTTCCTCTATCTGTCTCCAGGCGGGTTCTCCCACATGCAGATATGCCCACATACAAGTACCCTGCGTAAAGATTGTTACCCATGCTACACCATGTTTCAAGACAAAATTTCATTGATTTATCATTAGAAAAAAATATTTCATAATATCGAATTACATATTGTTTTTGTGATTAATCACTATGCTTTAATGATGTTCGATTTGTAACAATGAAAATACATCCTGCATATCAGATATTTAGATTGATTCATAACAGTAGCAAAATTACAGTTATAAAGTAGCAACAAAAATAATTTTATGGTTGGGGGTCAGCGCAACATGAGGCACTGTACGAAAGGGTCGCGGCATTAGGAAGGTTGAGAACCACTGGGGTAGAGGGTAGACAGGTGTTAACTAGGGTGAAAGGGAGGATAGTATTCCCTAAAAGGGAGAAGGGAAACTGTTAAGGGTGGTGGGCTGGGCAACCTGTTGGGAGGTATGCTAAGTTGTTGAAATTGTGGAACACAAAAATGATGGAAAAAAATGATGGTAAGGGGAAAAAGGTCTTTAAAGCATTACCTAATTCAGCACCTACCACCAACATCTAATTCACACTGAAAGTTTAAAAAAGCTAACACGATTTAAACGATTGAATTGCATGATATGTAGATTATGTGCCACTAAAACTTTAATAAAATAAATAAAAGGGGAAAAAAAGGTTAAACAAAGAAAAGAAAACTGAGACTAAGGGAGTGAACTGCGTGATAAAATGATGCATGTCTTTTTGATTCCAAGGATCTTCGTTAAAGGTTGTGGAATCTCCAAAATTTAGGTCTTCTCTGGCCCTATTCTTTCCCCACTCTACTCTAACTTGAGAATTGCTACTTTTTCCTTCCTTCCTCCACCCCCACCCTCCCCACCCCCACCCCACCCTCCCGCTTTGTATATTGTAGGCTGTTTATTTGCTTGTTTTTCTGTGTCTTGCTTGGTTAAGGAGTCGGAAAGTCTTGCCTTACCATTTGCTTGATTCTGAGATGAAAGCAGTAGCCATTCTTATCTGAGCGCTAGGTAGACCTGGTCCGAGAGAACGCCACACTTCTGAACTCACTGGCTTCAGCACTGGACGAGCCTTACTCTATAGGAAGCATTGGATACCTGTCTACCTATTCAAAGCCATCGCCCAGCTCTAGGCTGCCAACATGAAAGTCAGCAATTCGCAATCCCCACCCGCTCCAATGGAGCAAAACGAGGCTTTCTACTCCGGTAGTTACCAATCAGAAACCCACAGGGTCAGTTCGACTCTGTCCCCACAGGGTCGCTCTGAGCACAATCGACTCGATGGCAGAGTGAGTTCGAGACTGTGAGGATCGGCGGTGTTTCAGTGTTCTACCTAGGGTCGCTCTGAATTGAACCGACCCCGCGGCACCTCCTAACCCCTACACGAGCTGGAATGCCTCAATGACAGTGAGCCAGATTGTTTTGTCTTTTTTTGACATTCGGTGCCCTGTACTGTGCTAGGCAATGGAGATAACTATAACCTAGGCTGACTTTGTCCCTTGCCTTTATGGAGCGAACAGCTTGGAGTAGAGGTCAAACAATGAAAAAAAAAAAAAGCGACCAATCTATTAGTGCTGTGAAGAAAAAGAGCTGGGTGCGTGCAAGAAGGAATTACAGTGGCAGATCTATTTCAGATGGGGCTGATGTGCTCCATTTAACAGAGGAGGCAGTTGAGGCTGAGGGCGGTCCCGTCGGCAGCAGAGGCAGATCGGAGACGTCTGCGCCCCGCAGCCTCTGGTGCCCGAAGTCCACGCAGGCGCACTGACGGTTGCCATGGGGACAGCTGCTCCGGCGCACGCGCAAATGTCGCCAAGATGGCGGCGGCGGCGGCCGCGCGGGCTGTGCCTGTGGGCTCGGGCCTCCGGGGCCTGCGGCGGACGCTGCCCCTGGTAGTGATTCTCGGGGCCACCGGCACCGGTAAATCCACCCTGGCGCTGCAGCTCGGCCAGCGGCTCGGTGGCGAGATCGTCAGCGCTGACTCCATGCAGGTAGCGCAGTGCGGCTGGACCCAGGCCTCTGGCCGGGTCGGGTCTCTGCCGCGTGGTCGGGGTGAGGGAACCCCGAGTCTTGTGAGGGGGGGAGGGAGCAGGTGAAAGGAACCTGCCATGACTGGGTGCCCACCCTGTGCCAGGTAAGAGTGCGGGGCGTTTCACACGCCCCCTCTGCTCTGCTTCCTGCCACCTTATTCTTGAGTCGGCACTGTAGTTTCCAGGAACCCTGGCGGTACAGTGGTTAAGCTGCCGAGCCCGGTGGAACCCACCTATGACCCCGCGGGAGAAACTTGTGGCAGTCTTACGTCTGTAAAGATCCCAGCCGGAGAAATCCTAGGGGGGCAATTCTCCCCTGCTCCACAGGCACTCCGACTCAGAATTGACCGAATGGCAAAGGCTTTGCCCGGTTTTTATTGTCTTTATATGTGGATGAGGGAGTTGGAGCATCGAGGCATGAAATGACTTTCTTCACTTCACCGTGTGTAGCTGGCAGAACTTGTATTTTAACCTAGATTGGCCTGAAGGCTGGCATCTAGGCGTCCAGTAAATATCTTTTGAATGAAAAATTATTCCAAAGCTTTTGGGAGACTAGGATAAATTGGTTACCATCTCTTGCATGCTGGTGTGTGACGTAGGGTGAATGAATAGTCAGGGGATCTAGATTCCAGCCCTTATCTGCCATTGACCTCGGGTTAATTTCATTTGGGGATGTTAGTGATTTTGTCTGTAAAGCAGAGAGAGTGCACCTAGCTCACAGAGTTGTAGTGCTTTCAGTCTAAGACTGAAAGAGAAGAGTGGCCTGGCCCAAGGCAGGACCAGACACCCGGTAGATGCTTGAAGCTGAGGTTTTTAACTGCCTGCTTGATCGGAGTTGAGGGAGACTTGGACCTTTTCTTTGATCCAGAGGAGACCCAGAGTGGTGCTCCTCCATCACCCTGTGGGCTTTTGTTGCAATCCACTCAATGGCAATGAGCTTGGTTTTTGAGAGAACTAAATCTCTGGGTCAATTTGGGAGAGATTTCTGATGGAAGCAGTACAGCACCTATTTGTTGAAGAAAATGTACACTTGAGAATGGCACAGAGTAAATGAGGTGTTAGAAATGAAATGCCTAGTTATTGCACCTACTACCCGATTGGTACTAGCAGAGTATGTCCCCACCCTACCCCATAAGCCTCCGGGCTTAATTTTCTGCTCTCTGTAGCTCTTTGGGTTGACAAGATCATGGGCATAAATTAAGGGATTAATGAAAAAGAGAAAAAAAAAATTAAGGGATTAGTAGAATTTCAAAAAATACTTGTTCAGGAACTGCTTTATGCCAGCTTCAGGAGATTGGTTTTGGCTCACATTTTTAGCCCTGCCTTTTCTAAGCTGCATGACTCAAACCTAACTGCTTTGTGTCTTTATGTATTTTTTTCTTCTTTCAAACAAAAAGAATAATATTACTGGTACAGCATTATTGTGACGACTCCATTAGATAAATTATGTAAAAAATAAACAAAAAGACCCCTAATAGTTGCTATTGAATTGATTCCAACTCATCCTAATCCCATGTGTATCACAGTAATTTGTGCTCCAAAGGGATTCAGTGGTTGCTTTTTCACAAGTGGATCCCTGGTCCTTTCATCTGAGGCATCTCTGGGTGGATCCAGTACAATATATGGCAGAATCCGTGTTAAAAATATGGTGGCTGTTACTTTCTGGTAGGCCCTATGGGAGAGATAAATTTGACCCCTGCCCTCAAGGACAGGCAGAGTTAATAAGTACTTTATTGATGGTGCTTTGCAAAGTAGAGAAGTTAGGGGAAAGAGCTCTGTATCTTATAAGACAAACTATTAAATACAATAGGAATTCGGGAAAGGGAGAAACCAGTGATGATTGGCTTAGTCATGGGACATTCTCTGGAAAAAGCTTTGAAAGATAGGTGAAGTTTGGCTAGTGAGAAAGAAAGGAAGACAGGAGAAGGAACGTGAGTGAAGATACAGAGGGTGGAATGGGCTTAGCGTGTCTGTAGCACAGTGGAGACTGTTCAGCAGAGAACTGTTGTAGATAGTGTAGCATGGGGATGGCATGTAACATGATGAAGCCAGTGTGCAAGGAACATTCATCTGTGAGCAGTATGCATGAGGAATTGGATTGGGGGACAAACAACCCAAGTATAGATCTTTGGCCTGATAGTTCAGAGACTTCAGTAAGATGGAATTACACTGATGGCATCAATAGTCTATTCCAGGCTTAATGTTCTGTAATTTCTATAATTCTGAGTTGGTGTGGTGTTAGGGGGAGTGGTAGTGAAGAGAAGGACTTTGTCAGTATACTTTGACAGTATTTTCATGTTACAGTATGAGTTGGCCACAAGAGAAAGCGACTTACGGCTGCTGGTTTAGATGCATGGTGCACCTGGAACTCAGGGATCTGACTGAGGTACAGCCGGAGTGGCAACAGGACATCGGAGCAGAAGTCTCATGAACGGATGGGAACACCCCAGGCATGAGCCCACCTCGGACTCTTAAGACTTGTTCTGCTTGGTGGAACAAATAGAATGTTATAGAGGCTTCTCTGACTGTCTAATAACACACCACTGCCTTCTCCTCTTCCCTTCCCTCTTCCCTGCACATATACTCATGTTCTCAAGAAATCATTCTGATTTTATATCATTTTATAAGTAAGTTAGTGAGCTCTGGCTATCAGGATAGAGTATAACTCCATGAACTATTTACCATTTTTTAAAAATGGTTCTCTGGGCTGTTAGCTGTGGACTACAGGTTAAGGTGGTTCGAGGTCTTGCTGGCCACCATATCAGTAGTAGATTTCATACCTTGTATAGTGCTGATGGTAGAGTAAGTTCTTAATATTTGATAAGCTATTTGTTGGATTGCCTTATGAAAATGGCACATCTCATCTCATTCAGATTGTTCTTCCTATGGTTGTAAGTAGTTAGAATATGAGCGTTCAAGTCTTCCATCCTAAAAATCCACGAGGATTAATTAATGTATGAACAACAACAGAAAAAAGCAAACTACGAAAACAACAAACAAACAATTTGCTCATTTCTTTTCCAACAGTTTTATTGGCATATAATTCACATATCATACAATTCAGTAGTTTGGTCACATTCAGAAGAGTTGTAGAATCATCACCACAATTAATCTTAAACATTTCTTCAATATGGAACTTATCGTTGTTAGCTCTCCATTTTCTCCAAGCCTCCCCTACTATACCCGAACGGGACCGTCTCTATAGATTTACCTCAAACCATCTGTTTTTGAGCTTTCTGACTGGTGATAGGTTGTGTTTAATTTTGCGTATCCAAGTATCTCCTGTTTTTCAAAAATCTGCTTTTATGAAAGACCTACATTAGTACTTGTTCTTGCTAGTGAACTTAAATCCAAGTGAAGCTAGCATTCAGAGATTGTTTTACAGTGACTTGTTGGAAGGGGTGGAGGGCACCCAGGGCAGTGAGAATGTGTCACCAGGCTCCTTCCCCCGGAATGACACCGAACAACTCAGCTTCAAGCCACCATAGCATTGAACTGTGCCTGTGAGCACTCTCTGCCAGTGTGACTTTAGGTGCCATGTGTGACTTGGTGTGATTTGGAAGGCTATTTTTTTGGTTTGGGCAGGCTTAACAATTTCCCTGTATAAATGAATGGGAATTGCTGCTTTGCTTTACCGTAGAGGTGGAAACCTGTACTTGGATATCTATAACATTTCCTCTTGGTCCTCATAGGAAAACTTTGACCTTTGATTTGACTCTTCAGTCCAGATAGTGAAAGCAAGTCCCCAGGCCCTTGTACAGTGGGAAAACGTAGTTCTTTATTCCCGCCTTTGCTTCCCCATCCTGTCTTAGGGCCCTGCTGCTCTGCCTGGTATTTAGCCATCTGCATGTGATGCAGCTTTTCAGTCCTTGAAGTAAGCAAGTGAACAAAATGACATTCTTAATGATGGATCACCAGCTTCTTGAGAATATTTTGAATTTTGAATAAATCTACAGGTAGATTTGTACATCATGGTTTATAAAATACTTACATGTTTGTTTTTTAAATCCTCACAATAACTTCATAACCAAAAATCAAACTCACTACCATTGAGTTGATTGTGACTCGAAGTGACCCTATAGAGCAGGGAAGAACTGACCCTCTGAGTTTCTAAGACTTAACTTTTGATGGGAATAGAAAGTCTAGTTTTTCTCTTACAGAATGGATGGTGGTTTGGAACTATTGACTTTGCAGTTAGCTGCCGAACGTGTAACCACTATGCCACTTGGGCTCCACATGACTTCCTAAAGTAGCTATTCTCATTTCATAAGTACATCAATTGAGGCCCAGGTCTCACAAGAAGCAGCTGACTTGGAATTAGACATAGGTCTCTTACTCTCCATGCCTAGTGTCTTATCCTCCACACAAAACCATCCCCTTTAGATGAAGCCGGAACTGTGGGAGTCTGTGAGGGTGGTTTTATACTTGTATGCCACTCAGCCAGCAGAGGA